ACCAAAGCCACATGTTGCAACAGACTGAGAGTAAAGCAGGCAGGAGAATCCAGCTGTCTTCTATTAAGACAGATATTAAAGAGAGGTACAGAAGTGTAAAGAAATGCCACTTTCATGACTAATTTTTTGAATATAATTATTTTTATTAAGTGTTGTGTATGTTAACATGTAATGAGTTTATTTTTAACGAATAAATATTTAAAATTTTTAGTTTTAACTTCAAGTATGGTAGATATTGATAGATGTTATTATACAAAGCTCTTTGTGGGTAATCAGTAACTTTTAAGAGTAAAGAGGGGTCCTGAGACCAAAACTCTTGAGAGCTGCTGGTCTAAGCAAGCCAGGAGGGTGAGGCCAAGGAAAGAAGTGAAGCAAGTTTGGACATGTTAGGGGAAGGGTGGGCCTCCAGGTGCCAGCACCTCAGCAAGGTTAGGGCAGGGCCCAGTAGACATGACATTTTGACAAGAAAGCTGGCAAGCACAGCCTAACAGCAAGTAGTCCCCTTTAAAAGAAAGATGGCGGGGATTCCATACACTGTTTCCACAATTGAGATCTTCTTTACTCTTGCTTTCAGTGAACTTTCTAATATATTAGATCAGAAGAATCATACCTTTCATGCAATATAAAATGTTCTATCATCTACTGACCAAAACAAATCAAATCCAGAGTGAATAAAGATCTTATCATAAAAATACAAACTAAAATAATCTTAGAAGAAAAATGTTTTTAGAATATCAGAGAAGCCCTGCCTAATCAAACAGGAAGCTTAGAAGCCATAAAGGAAAAAGGCAGTGTTTGATGACACAACAATTTATATTTTCTATAGAGGAAACTCACAGCAAATTTTAAAGAAGTGAAGACTAGGAGAAAATATATGCAATACATATAATAAAGATTTATAGCCATAATTTGTAAAGATTGTTTACAAATAAATGAGAATGAAATAAATGAGAAAACTACAGATAAACAAATATGATTATGAAAAATAAAACTACAAATTGCCAATAACCATAGAGAAAGATCTAACATTACTAGTAATTAGGGAAATACAAATTAAAATGAGATACAAATTTTTGCCTATCAGATTAGTACAAAGGAAAATGGTGACTGCCTAGTTAACAGAGGTGTGAGGTAGCAGGCCTGCTCCTTGGCACGAACCTTTTCATAAGGCAAGGTCTCAGTAGCCACCAGCATCTAAAAGGATATGTCTTTGACTCAGAAATTTCAGTTTTAGGCATCTTTCCTATAGGGATACTTACAAATGTGGGTCAATGTGTAATACTTAGAATGTATGATTACACATTAACACTCACGCACGCACACACACACACACACACACACACACACACACACACACACAGTCTTTTGGTCATAATAGAAAAAAGAAAAAAAAAACACCTAAACAACTATCACTTGGAGAATGTAAGTTCCAGTATATCTGTCTTCTCGACTAGATAAGCCACCATAAAGAGTGAGGATGGTTCTTATACTCGTTTAAAGATGTCTGTGACATATTAAATGAAAAAAAAAGAACAATATATTTGTACAATGATTCCATTCATTAAAAAAGAGGAAAGCTTTTGTTCAGTAGACAAATGCACAGATACACGCAATGGGTCAACAGTGCTCCCCAACCCCAGAATGGCATTGGGATAGGTAGAAAGTCAGGGAGTGCTGCACGCCATTAGGTATAATGTAAAGGGAGCCTTTACATTATAACTAATTTCCATTTATATTGTTTAAATTTTAAAGGTCTTCATTTTTATAATAAAAATATTTTTCAAATGAAACACAAAATACCCAAATATTTCCATAGAATTATAAAAATATAATTGAATTACTTTGCTATAAATGGTTATCTGCATAGCTTTCCATATTCAGGAAAAGATGACCTAGAAAGACATTCTCCAAGTAAAGAATTAACCCATGGATACTTCATGCAGAACCCTTCACTGTAATCATCACTTTCCTCTCTCTTCATGGCCATAAAGCAATGAAGTTTTTTGAGAAACAAAAACATTTGTCAATTCCAGGGCATAATTTAATCTGAAAGCCAATTTACGAACACTCTGCTGTTTATCCACAAAGTAAAACTAAAGGTTGGTAAAACAAGGCATTATTTTGGGTTTAGTCTTCATGTTGCATGGGCCACATTTGACTAAGCAGAAATAACTCTCTGCTTAGGTCACTTCTCTGCACAGCTCCTCACAGATTCACTGAGTGGCATTTCTTGTGTTCTCTAGCCAAGGTAGGCCTCAGTCCTGTCAGCAGTAGCTGTCCTAACAGTGAGCACACCTGTGCAGGTAGAGCTGTGCATCTCAGAACCCTCCCTTGGCCTCAGCATGTGTGCTCCAAAGTCATTATTGATTTGCCTCTTAATGATAAAGCTACTTAACTAGGCACAGCCTTGTGCCTGACACCAGAAATACAAATTAGAAGTAGGTTTCTGAGCACAGTTTCATGTGAGAAACAGACTGAAAAAGTACAGTCACATCTTGTGTCATAAGTGATGAAGTAAGGGATCCAACTGCATGGCCAGGGAGGCTTCACACAGGCATCATGTGACATGGGCACCAAAAGACACAGGGTACCCTGGACATGGAAAAGTTATGGGCAAAGGCAGTCATGAAGACAGTGTTTCTGGGTTAACAAGCATGCTACACATCCCACAGCCTGTGAGGATAAATTAGATCACATTTATATCTGTACCCCAAAGACAAAGGTCCCCAGCCTGTTCCCTGTGATTGCAAGCAATTTCAGTGTTTTCCAGAAGTCTCTATGGTGAAGATTTCTGATAATCCCTGGGAGAGGTTTGAGTGTACATAAATTTGATGGCTCCCTAGGGGCTCCCTTCCCACAAGAAGTAGATTCTCAAGCCCCTGGGTCTGAACTGGGTACCCAGGCCCCCTGGAGGCCTTGCAAATCATCCATTAGACCCTGGGGATGTCCAGAGCAATGACACTATGAAGGATGGGATGGGGAGCCCAACACCTGGGTCTTGCTGACAGCCAGCCTCTAGATCCACTTGGAGCATTGCCTCCTGAGCTGCTTCAGTCAGCATACCCACTGGGATCTGCCCTTTTACTGGCAGCTAGGAGTGCACCCGGCAAACCTACTTGGCC